TAAACATAGCAAATAAACATGTTTTCAAAATCTTTATAACCTAATGAAATTAAAATATTTTTTTTTTAACAGACAACTAGGTAATAGTTCCTTCAAATCATAATATTTTAATTTATTTTTTAAAAAGTTTTTGCTCCAAACATTTTTTTTTTTTTTTGTGCGATGATTTATCATTGAATTCAAATATAACAAATCCATTAAAATCAATAACTATAGCTATACTCTAAAGAAAAAAATTTTGCTCATACTTTTAAGTTTGATAGTCAATTCAATATATCTTTTAAGCTCACTTCAAATAGTTATTGGAACTCCTTACCACAAATTTGCTAGATATTTTATATTGGTACAATTCAACTAGGAATTGTTTAAAATTGTATTAAATTGCCGTATCACTAGGAAAAGCAGTAACTACAAAAGTCAATTTTTCATAAAATTGAACTTTTGTGTTTTATAATTTTTTTTTTAACTAAGATAAGATTTTAAGCATACATTTTAACTGAAACAGATGGAAATTTATGWCAGAAATTCAAAAATGCTACCTATTCATTTAATAATTCATCATCAGAATTCTCATATTATAATGTAGTTACTGCATTTCAGGGTACCATTACCTTCATATTATAGTGTAATAGTGTAATACAAATTATATAAAATGTATGTAAGCAATTAATGTAATTTAAAAATGTAACACTGGTTAATAACTAAATAACCATATAGTTGATGCCTTAACAAWTAAAAAAATAAATTATAAAATGCAGTATTACCATTTACTTACGAGTTATGAACTACCCGCAATATCATATATAACTGTGGTGGTAAAAAATGCAGTAAATTCACACAAATAATAAAGATAGGTACTTCTTAATCATCAATTTTAATACTTATTTTTAATGAATTGAACAAATATATAATTTTATAAATAACTATTTTCAATCAATGTGATGTATAGTTACTGTATATTGACTGCACTTTATGGTATAGAACATCTATAGTGTGGCTAGAAAGTGACTAAAACCCTCCAGTTTTCAAACAGCCAAAATTTACTATTATTAAAATAAATTACTTAAGTGGGAATATCAATCAAAAAATTATGATATTTGATAGATATAATCTGACAGACGGTCTCCACTTATAGGTATACAATTATATTACCATTCAACCATAGAGACCCACTCGACATCCACCAAAAAATTGTATATCAGAATGGTACTAATTTGGTATCAAATACTAAAATTTAAATTCAATGATAATAATTGCACACGAAAAACAATCCTGAGCAAAGATCTATATTACCATATGTCCATATTACCAAGTACATTTTATTAAATTTTACTGACATTCTACTTCCTATTGCCTATTAGTAAGTGGAGCCGAACACCCCTAAAAAGTGTTGTTATAAACTTAWAACAAAAGCTTGATGATCATTAAGACCTTAATGTTGTTCACATAACGTTGAGAGTATCATAAAGTAATATAAAAGTATGATAATAAGCTTGGTTTAAATATTTTTAGTGGGTGGTAGGTACCTTCTGAAAATAAATTTGACAATAGKACTTTTTTTAGAGCTCATAACCACTGGGTAAGTTATATAATTTTTTTTCCAAAAACATTGCGATAAATACCTATCTATATAAAATAAATATTCATTACTAGTTACAAGTGTCAAAGATTCGTTTTTTTGATAAATATATTTGTAAAAAAAATTACAGGCCATATTGTCATATTTTTATTAATTTTAATAATAAAATAATATGAACCAATGGTAACAATTCAAAAAACAAAAATAATATTCATTTTTTGAGTGTGGAAAACAAATGTATGTACCTATGAGCTACCTTAAGCTACCAACAAAGATTTAAAAARATAAACTGCTAACACCTTCCAAGTCTCAAGAAATCTATTGAGATAACTTTTATTCAAAGTGATTCAATAGTTTTTTAGTTTATTACTTCGGATAAGCCAACATTCATTTTTGATTGTACAAACCAAATTCACCTGTGAAAATGTAAATAATACAAAAAAAGGCACTATAATATAAGTAGCTGGTGGATCTTGATTTCAATGCATTTCAGTTCATGGGCAAATCGGT